AAATCATCTGAATTTTACTGTTTCAAAAGCCTCACGCATCATATACAAGTGACTAATTCTCAACTTCATTCTAGTTTGTCGAAGCTTGAAAGTCTGAGGTGATACAGCTTCTTAGATTTAGTCGTCGTATCTTTTTGAATAAGATGTCTGAATCTGTAAGTACACTATAAGGCGTATTCATCTTGCAGAAAGAGCAACTCTCGCCTCGACCGATTCTCTCCTCGCATCAGCAGTTTGTGTATTGTACATGTTCTTTCACGTTTTTTTATCAAGTTGTAAGAACTTAAATGCACTATTCAGTTCATAGGTCTCGTGTAATTTAAACACTCATATTGTAACACAAAAAAAATGCTAAAATAAATTGTTAAAAAGCAAAAAGGGGTATTGGTAGAAATATAAAATGGCCTCATTAAAAACCTCCAAAAGAGGAGGGAAAAAGAGTACCCAAAAATGACAAAGAAAATCCTCAAAAAAAAAAAAATAAATAAATAAATAGAGATTATTTATTTATATAGTATACTTGTTTAATTATGAACTTGTGGAGTGACGACGATTGGACTTCGCACACTGTGGTCGCCGAACTCATCTATCCATGTGATGGAACCATGCGCCGTAGTGTTACGTACCTCATAATGAATGGTCAAACTATAGCTTCTCTTTTCGTTCATCTTTTGAAAAACCAAGATTTTCGGACAAACTGTAATATTGGTATTCTTAGGGGCTTTAATCTTTACATAGTACTTGGTTGCGTTCTTACCATTGCCGCCGACATACGTGACCGTCCTATGGAATTTCTTTGTCAACATCATGCCTTGTTTCTTGGTGCTAAAAAGCGCGATGAAGGATGGGTAGTTGAGGTCGGACGATGGGGTCGAGCAATTGTAATTCGATCTGACAATTGTCTTGATCTGCGTCGAGTTGAGTTTCATCGAGCATACGAGATTCACGTAGTCCTGACGGGACAAGTCATAAACCAGCCCCGGGTTCAGCGCCCGGTTTGGGTCGACTTGCCCTGCCCCCATGGCAAGTGGGCTGGCAAGCCCGTTAGGGACGAATTCATCCCGTATTCTATTCCCGGTGTTGTCCTGTGGGTTAGCTGTCGTCATCATGGCCGAGCGTATAGCCGCAGAGCTCCAATCAGGATGTGCGCCTTTTAGAAGTGCCGCAACACCTGAAGCGTGAGGGCATGCCATGGATGTCCCAGAGATAATAGTAAAATCACTTAAGCGACTAAGATTGGGGGTGATGAAGTCCAAACTCTTATTTGTCACCCAAGATGCTAACACCAACGACCCTGGTGCCATGAGGTCGGGCTTTAAGACGCCCGGATAGCTTTGGGAGGGACCTCTAGAGGTATATGTGGCCGCGACCGGGGCAGGTTTTGTCCCCAGAAACGTCTGTTGGAACATGATGCTGGCGACCGGATTCACACCATTTGTGGCATAATTAATTAGGGCCTGCGCTTGCCTGGAGCTTATCACAACGATGGGGCTAGCATAATAATATGCGAACTCAAATGTAGCGGGATCATCGGAGATGATAATGGCACCTGAAGCATTTGAACTTGAGACATTGGAAACTTGATAATCAAACACGTACCCTTTCTCGCAAATGACTATCCCTCCCGCGGCCGCCGAGGATAAATTGGCGCTCGAGTTGCAACGAGAGAGTGTTTTATCATAGATGAGGGGATATTTGGTCATTGATCCCTGTGCGGGGAACATTGTCCACCCACGGATTGTCTTCCCATTCCCCAAGGTCAAGGTCCCGCCAAAAGAACGGTCGACTGACCCGGCACCAACGGTCAACACCCACGGGATCCCATTGTGAAGACTCCCGGGCGAAGGGCCATTGTTCCCTGCGGAGGAAGAGACAAACACGCCCTTCTCCATGGCTCCAAAAGAAGCTATGGCAACCGGGTCTTCATACAAAGAGACATTTGGGACGCCCAAGGAGATGGATATGACGTCGACCCCATCGGCCACAGCCGCATCCATCCCGGCAATCATGTCCGAGACAGTGGCCCCCTCGTCCCAGATGACCTTGTACATTGCCACCCGAGCACGAGTAGCAATTCCTTTTGCCTTTCCCGGTGCATACCCGAAAAATGAAGCTCCGGTGACTTCATTCCCGGCAGCGGTCGATGTGGTGTGCGTTCCGTGCCCTATGGTGTCCCGTCCCGAGTTCATGCTCAAGGTTTTGTTCGGATATCGTTTAGCTAGAACACCCTTGTTGAAATATCTTACCCCAATGAGCTTTTTGTTGCACATCGTATGGTCGAAGTCTTGTCCCGCCTGGCATACACCTTTCCACCTTTTAGGAATCTCGGTCATCCCATCATCTCTGAAACTCTTGCTTTCGGGCCACACGCCAGTATCGATAACTCCGACGATCACATCCTCGCCGTAGTTAGAAGCCGGCCACAACCCGGTCGAGTTATTAAGAGATAAGAACTCGGGAGTGTGGGTCGTGTCGACTCTGACAGTTCTATCGGGGTAGGCGGATATGAATCCAGTGGATTTTTTTAGGGCTTCGAGTTCGAGATTCGACAACAACGCGCTGTATCCATGGAGCACGTTGTCATATATGTAGAGTAAGCTTAATTCATTCTCGGGTTTGTTTGAAGGCTTGGGATCACTCAAAGTGTTTAAGGATTGGATGGTGGAGGAATACCACTCACGGTGGTTCACAAAAGGCTTGGGCATGAGAGATTTGTCGAAGTGCACAATATAAGTTGATCTCTCTCCTAACACTAATGTAGTATACAAGAGAAATAAACACACAAAATGGATCATTTTAGAAAAGTAATTAGTTCTAAGGTTAAGTGAAGTGTTAGGATGATCAAGGCAAGTAACTTATAGAGAATGAGAAAAATTAATTATCGACTCGACGTCATTTATAATAATTTTTTTATTATATGTTCAAGATTAATAATTACATTTATCCTTTATTGTCGTTGAAATATATGACTTTGGTCAAAAACAACGGTCAAATAACTTTTTATAAATATTATTATTATTCTATAGATAACTTTGATAAACTTCTAGAGGAGTTGGCTTGATCATCGACTGTTGAATATATGAGACTAATTAAAGCCACGAACGATATATACATTCAATTTATTGTGGCAAAATTAATTAAGGACTATCTAAGTCTACACTATACAAAGATAAATACAATAATGGATACTCAATTATATATCATATTATTTAATTACACCAATAAATTTGGAGTCGCGTGTCAGAAAATTTTGTTTTCAAATTATATATTTTTATTCCAAGATAAGATGTACATCTTTGTTCTATAGATGATTTGTTGATTTATTATTATAATTTATAACAATATATTTTATAAATATTTTATTTTATTTTTAGATTATGATTTAAACAGACAATTCGACAAACATCTGCTTTGTCATCCTTATTTTTAGATTATAATTTATAACAATATATTTTATAAATATTTTATAAATATTTTATTTTATTTTTAGGCTCACATGAGAATGGTTCCCCATGAAAGAAATGAGAATGAATTCTGGCCATTAGATTGGATGATCTAATAGCTTAAAAAAAGTCAAAATTATACCTTCATTAAGGGTATTGTAGTAATTTTTACACCACATATAAAAAAGTAGACCCCACCCAAATTAATAATTAAAAAATCTGCCAACTAATACACCATTAATTGTCTAACATACCATTAATTGTCTAAGACGTCCACTCCCCCACTATCAGGGTGTCTCCAATGGTTAGCTATTTGGCTAGCTATT